TCCCCATGCTTGTGTCCACTTGTCCAGGCCTCTCTGGAACATGAAGAGGGGAAGATCCTGCGCCTGCAGCTTGAGCTCAACCAGGTGAAGTCTGAGATTGACAGGAAGATAGCAGAGAAAGATGAGGAGATCGACCAGATGAAGAGAAACCACCTCAGAATTGTAGAGTCGTTGCAGAGCAGCCTGGACGCTGAGATCAGGAGCAGGAATGAAGCCCTGAGGCTGAAGAAGAAGATGGAGGGAGACCTGAATGAAATGGAGATCCAGCTCAGCCATGCCAACCGTGTGGCTGCCGAGGCGCAAAAGAACTTGAGAAACACCCAGGGAGTGCTCAAGGTCTGTTCAGCAAAGCTACAGAAATGAGATTCCTGACATTTTTGGCCCTCAAGCGCACGTTGACACCATGTAACTCCTCGTCTCTCTTACAGGACACCCAGATCCATTTGGATGATGCTCTCAGGACCCAGGATGACCTGAAGGAGCAGGTGGCCATGGTGGAGCGCAGAGCAAACCTGCTGCAGGCTGAAATTGAGGAGCTACGGGCAGCCCTGGAGCAGACGGAGCGGTCGAGGAAAGTGGCTGAGCAGGAGCTCCTGGATGCCACTGAACGTGTGCAGCTCCTCCATACCCAGGTCAGGGCAGGGAGCAAAGGTAGACTTTTGTTAAGTGTTGACACTTAACAAACCCAGAGAGATGGAATATACCAGGGGACAGGCAGTACTAGAATGGCCTCTCTACTGCTGTCCACAATGAAAGTTCAGTGTCCATCACCCGAGCGCACCACTGGCGCTATGTAAACAACCATTGTACAAATATTTCCACATTCACAATTGCAGATGGGATGGGAAAGACTTGGCTCAGGCAGTAGGTTTGTTACTGCAGACCTTAGAATAAAAATCTTGCCATGTCCTTCCTGTTGCACAGAACACCAGCTTGATCAACACCAAGAAGAAGCTGGAGACGGACATTTCTCAGATTCAGAGCGAAATGGAGGATACCATCCAGGAAGCCCGCAATGCTGAAGAGAAGGCCAAGAAGGCCATCACAGATGTGAGTCGGGGCTCCTTTCATTGCTGATGGTCAGTGTATTCTCCCCAAAATGTCTCCAGCCCCACAACTCACCTGCTGCTCTGCTCAGGCGGCCATGATGGCAGAAGAGCTGAAGAAGGAGCAGGACACCAGTGCCCACCTGGAGAGGATGAAGAAGAACCTGGACCAGACGGTGAAGGACCTGCAGCTTCGTCTGGAAGAGGCCGAGCAGTTGGC